TTCCAGGTCACTGGTGCCCTTATGGGACTTGGCAGTGGTTTTAGATGGGCTCAACCTGACCCCATTTGAACCCCTGGAAGGAGCTGACATGAAGCACTTGTCACTCAAGACAGTGCTGTTACTGGCCCTGGCATCCGCCAAGCAGGTCAGTGACATTCATGCGCTATCTGTACATCCTTCATGCACTCAGTTCGCCCCAGGGCAAACGAGAGTGTTGTTGAAGCCCAACCCTACCAAAGGTGGTTGGTTCATGTACCCCAATTGACATTGAGGCATTTCCTCCGCCGCTGTGTTCCTCCGGGGAACAGCAGCCGGATTTGCTGTGTCCAGTCCATGCTTTACGCACCTATATGGACAGATCAAAAGAGTTTCGTCATAATGACCAACTCTTTGTGTCCTGGGCTAACCCTCACAAGGGCAAGCCCGTTACTAAGCAACGGCTCTCCCAATGGATTGTGGAGGCAATTGCTTTGGCCTATACGAGTCAGGGTTTGCAGGCACCTTCGGGTCTGCGGGCTCATTCGACTCGTGGTCTGGCTACATCCTGGGCTTTGTTCAAGGGTGTTTCCATCCAAGACATTTGTGCAGCGGCGAGCTGGTCCTCGCCGCTCACTTTTGTCCGCTTTTACAGGCTAGACGTCTCTGCTCCTAGTGTGGCCCGAGCAGTGCTGGGCACCTTGTTGAGTCAGAGCTCTACCTGTTAACCTCTTAAGCCCGAAGCCTGTTTTTCAGGTTTCAGGCTCGAAAATGACATGCCCAAAACAAATGACTATAACTTAACTTCTAAAAGGGTTATATGAATAATTTCTTTTATCAAAGCAAGGTCACATCTGTGAGTTGGATGTAGAAGTGTCAGAATCAATAAAGATGTTTCAGTGTCAGAGTAAATCCAGATGGAACATAGTCAAAAAGTGTACATTTTTGTCTCCGCCCAAATAAAACCCATTACTTATAGTGAAAACCACCCTTGAATGATGGGTTAGTAGACTAAAAGCTTTAGGAATCCAAAGTATAACATAATAAGTACCCTGTATCAAGATTGAGGCAAAACAAGTGAGAATTGACCTTTTTAGAGAGATTTAGCAAAAAAAAAGTCCAAGCGGACTAAGCTTTGGGCACATTTGGGTACATTTGGTTCCATCAGTGCCATTTAACCTTTTTCAGGTACCAGACTGTAAAAATCATTGTACAACATTTAATTATCACTATAGGTATTCATTCCATAAAAAAAAAAAAAAATTATTGTTAAAAAAAAAAAAAAGTGGGTGTGTGTGGAGTGTGTGTGGAGTGTGTGTGTGTGGTGTGTGTGGGAAGTTCCCTCTTTGCATGAGATGCATGTTACTTGCACAATAAAAATGAGGAAACTTAGGAAACATTTGACTCCAACTGGAGCAGATTTATTAAAAAAAATTAGCAACACACTATACAACAAGCATTTTTTGGGTAAAAAAAAAACTTTATACAAACCCTGAATGTTACAGTATTACTCCAGTAAGTCATGCCATGCCCTGTAAAAGTTATGTTTGGTAGTGAAGCACAGAGGGACCTGACACTTCCTGCAGTACACAGGTGTCTTCACTCTTCAGTTGCCAGCATCAGAGCACCTCCTGCAGTACCTCCTGACCTTGGTCAAATGTTTACTTTTAAGTACTTTTAACACAGTTACCCTGCGGGGGATTAATAAAGTATTTGTGATACTGATTTCTGATTCTGAAGTGTTTTGCTTATAAGTTGTTTGCATTTAGCTAAAGTGTGATGTTTTTCCTCATATTGCTTTGCAATAGCCTGTTTAAAGTGATCATATAACAAACAACTAATCAGTACTGATACTGTATGCTAATAGATCTAGGAGTGATAATAATACAGTAAATGCTTTGAATTTATTAGATAGAGCTGTGCAGTATTCTTAACAGACTGGATAGCAGCAGACAATAGAAGGCTTATTACAACCAGAAGAGACATGAGACTTTTATTTTTTAGAGACTTGAGACTTGACTTGGACTCGTGACCAAAGACTTGAGACTTGATCAAGTCTCACCCCACAAAGACTTGAGACTTGACTTGGACTTGCAAAGAAAGACTTGTGAACATCTCTGGCTAACAGTCCAGCCGTGAAGACATCTACGTGACAGTTTTGAAATTTCTTCAAATGCCGTTGCCATGGCAACACAATGCTCGCTATGAAACACGGTTTTCTCATAACTTCAGTGAAAATGCTCCAAACGGCCCAAATCTTCACAGGTTTGGTAACGATGCAGCCATCAAAACATCTAAGTGTATTATGGGGTGTCATCAAATACCGTTGGCATGGCGACAGATCATTCGCCATCAAGTTAGTTCAAAAGTTCTGCTACTTTTCCAAGCCTTTTTACTTTATTTTCTTCTCTCATCACACATTCAAGCCCCCAGTGTTCATGTATCATTTGAATCTAAATTCTTCACTTTCTCAAATCTCCAAAACTCTAAACACGTTTTCAGCTTTTCACACAATTTGCAAATCAACATGGCACTTTTTGCAAACCACTACACACGTTTCTCCACGTAAGACACAGGAATCTGACATAAAGTCACGTGTTAGCTGGTTTAAAACACTAATATTCAAAATGCCTCACACATGGACCAATAATCAAGAAACACGGTGAGTACTTTCTTACAGCAACAATGGAAGCCAACATGGAAGCAAATGCAAGAGGAAGAGGAAGAGCTGGGCTGAGAGTGAGAGGAGGAGGAAGAGGTGGGGTGAGAGTGAGAGGAGGAAGAATGAGAGCTAGAGGTAGAGCTGGAGGGAGAGGACGTGGACAAAGAAGAATACTCTCTAATGAAATCCGGGCCACTTTGATTGACCATGTTATCAACCATGGTTTGACGATGAGAGAGGCTGGACAGAGGGTTCAGCCTAATATTTTTTTACTCTAAGTTTTTATTTCTATCTACTGTATTTGACAGAAGCATAATTTTTGTTTTGCAATACAGAAACAACTGTAATGTGCTGAGATGCATGTTGCACAATGTTATTTTTGAATAAAATGGGATTTTTTTCTTCAACAACTCATTTGTATTTCTTCATTTACTGTATTTCTGTAAACTCAAGCAATCTTTCTCTGCAGAAACCTCTATGTACAGAGCATAGCCCATAACAGATGAAAGTGCTTTAGATTGTGCTCAGCAGTGTGCAGTTGGGTGGTCAAACAATCTAGTATTATGAATGAAATGTGTTATATTTGGTGCAAAACTTTGCATTTGGTAAGTGTTTATGTAGTTTTGAGTGCAGTTCTTCACTTAGCAGGAGAAATTAGGTGTTTTGCACTTTGGGTGTGTGGTTTTGTTAATTGTGTTTAGTGTACTGAGCAATTAAAAAAAAAAGTGTGTTAGCAATAGAGAGGCGAAGTCCCTCCCCTTCCATGAGACCTTATTTCGGAAAAAGTATGTATTGAAGTCAATGGAGAGAGAAAGATTATCTTTTGATCCCGTTTGAATTGTGCAACAAATTGCACATATGATGTTTGTCAATTTAAAAGATAATTTTGCAAGTCAAAAAAATTAAAATGTGCCGTAAAACTGTGAAGTAACACATTTGTTTGTGTGAAGCGCTCAATGAACTACAACTCTGGTCTTGCATACGTCACCAACACCAAGATGGCCGTCACGTTAGCACATTTCACCTCTTTCTTTCAGAATGAAGCGAAAAGTATTAAAAGAGGTGAAAATCACTACAAGTCTGGCCATGTTGAGAACTGTACACAAAAGGGGAGTTAGTCGGTTCCAGCATGCAGGACCGGCTTTACAAGGTTTTGGTGAATAACACGAGTGTAATGTGTAACGTTAATGTCAGCTAGCTAAATTCACTTACGCGACTCTGGGATTTGTAGTCTTTCTAGTTGCATATTTTTCATAGTCTTATATTTCAACAGTTTTAAGACAAACTGTGACTTTTTTGACATGGACATTTTTTTTTAAGATTGACAAACATCATAGTAATTCGTGGCACAATTCAAACGGGATCAAAAGATAATCTTTCTCTCCCCATTCACTTCAATACCTAATTGTTCTGAAATAAGGTCCCATGGGGCGGAAGTTGATGGGCGTGACTTCACCACTCTATCGAGAAAAACTGTAACTGCCGCCGACATGGACGGATGCGGTGCTTCCCTGAGCGTCAAATACCGCCGCCAATGGGAATACATTGCAATCAGTTGAAAGCTCTTTGCGTCCGTTTATGAAGCTGAAGGAGACTCAGCACGTCACAACTGCACGCCAAAGGACCCTGACCAAGCGTCGCTATTGGACTATCAGGGAGTGAGACTGTGTTGCCTACAACAGTTAATGTGCCTTAAATTCACTCAGCACTAATGAGTAACACTGTACTTATTTGGCATTAGCGAGGTAGATATAGAAGATGAGTTAGATGCAAAGACAGTAAAACAGATTCACTTTATTTGTGCAGATAAACAAGACGGATAAACAGACACACACACACACACACACACACACACACACACACAGGAAAGAACACACTCAGGGGGCTGGGTTGGGGGGCTATCTCTCCTCTCAGAGTGCTGCGGTCCATCGACCCTGCATGGCTGCTCTCAGCTGGATACGTGTCATCCACAGCAGCCCTGCCTGTTAGGGGGAGAGCGTGGGCTGTGTAGGGTGTAAGGGAGGTGGAAATACATTGGGAGAGAACCAGCAAGGAAAGGATGTGAGAGTGAGTGGAGGAGAGGATGCACTGGTGATGCAATGGAGGAAAATGGGAATGAAAAGCAAGAATGAAAAGAGGACTTTGGTGGGTGCATATGCAGCCTACTCAGTGACTCTATCTGAACAAGGTCAGGGGTGAAATGGGGTTGTCTGTCAGATGTTACTCTGCATCATAGCTCCCAGGGAGAAGGGTCATTACTCTTCCTCATCTGATCTTCTATCCTCTTCTTCTATTGACAGTCAGGTTGTTTTCGGGCTGTTGTTTACTCGCCTCATGTGTGTCTTCCATCTCTCTTTAATAGGTGTCTGTGGTGATGTTGCCATGTGCCAGCTGCCATCTGCTCTTATCCTCCTTTATTCAGGTAAGATACTGTATGAGACGCCTATATGTGGTATATATATATATGTAACAGGTAAAAGTATACATCTATTACTGTTTTTACTTTAAGAATATGAAATACAGTTCTTTAAATTAATAATTCACCTTTTTGGAATTGTGCTTATTTGATTAGTGAAGATCAATTCCATCATGTCCATTTAATTCAAGGCTACATTAGCACTGTGCTTAGCACTGAAAACACGGGAAACTAGTCTTTCCAAAGTCAATAAAAGCAGCCTATCAGAACCTACAAATGATTACACTGGCTACACTGTGACAGGCCATGACAGCAGTTAAGGATGTAGGTAAGTTGACCATAGCACCCCCCCCACCTTCCCCGTACAGACAGCGGGCTCTTCACCACTATAGGAACATTCTCCAGTTGTCTTCACTGTGGATATTTTTGCATTTGAGATTTGAGACTAACTGCCAAAGGGGAAAGGCAAGAGGCCTTTCCAATTTCACATGATCATTTGACAGTGTCCATAATTGTCTGTTGTCTGTGTACTTGGTCTGATTTTCAAAATGGACAGTTTGTGAATTTGATGCTTGCAACATATTGTGTCCTATACTAAAGTATGCCTTCGTTGCATGCCTGCGTGGCCTAGCAATATTTTTTATAATAATGAAAAAAAGGACAAGAAGTGAACCATTCTCTGTTTTACTGTGTTTGCTTTGCTTGCACAGTTGCTCTTGAGACAGGAAGCTGGGTTTGGGGACTTTCCAAGAAGTTATAATAAAGCAAACATTTAACTTCAGTGGACACCATGACATGAGATAGTATTTATTTCAAGAGCTTCCAATTACATCAAAGCATGCTGTCAAAGTTTGGTGTCAAATTAAACTGTCATTAGAGTCTCAGTTTCATAAATATACAATGTTCTATGCCACGACAACACACACATCCATATGTATGTCCTTGATACACAAATGCAAATAGGAAACAAACAAACTGCCACATCTGCAACCTTGTTGCAGTGTTGTCCTGAAAACTGAGCTCATTACAAAGTTCCTCTTTGTGTGAATTAAAAAAGTGACCTCTTATAATGTGTTTGAAGAGGAACAGCTACAGTATTTCAGTGGAGAACTGTGAATCATAGAAAAGAGCTACACCAATGGGCAAACAAACATACTATGAACAAATGCACACACACACACACACACACACACACACACACACACACACACACACACACACACACATCTAGTGTGTGACAGCATGGAAAACGGATGTAAATCTTTCATGGACACCATCAATTTCAGGCATTAAGTTTATTAATACTTGTATCAAATACATGTCAGTGTCCTGTGGGATTTTGACAGGAAATAACCATTTAAAGCAAAATCATCAGAATTTGTCCGGTACAAAGGGGACTTTAAAAGTACACCATATACATTTAACTTTAGTCAAATTGGGTAGTAGCAGTCTAATCCCTTCTGTAACAATAATGTATCGTACATTCATCATACATCCTGATTATGTATGTCTACATGTTTCCTGAACACACTAATTCAGATCTCTCTTGGTTGATAGGAGGGAGGTAAAACATAGAAATAGTCTGCTTTTAGGTCAACCCCTCAGAGAAGCAGAGGTGTGTTTGTGTGCATGTGTGTTGGTGTGTACGTCTGTGTGTGCATGTGTGTGTGGGTGGGTGTTTGTCTGGGTTTGTGTATATTTGTCTGTACGTGTGTGCCATATTACAGAGTAGAGTGGTAAAGGGATGGCAGCCGTCTGCAGAAAAATCTGAGCTGCCTGCATCTAAGAGAAGCTTTCATCCTCCTACCTGCCCACCAAAGAGGGGAGGCATGCACTTTCTCTCTCTCTTTCACACACACACACACACACACACACACACACACACACACACACACACACACACACACACACACACATACATACATACATACATACATACAAACCAGGGTTAAGGCCAGAGATGCCTGCAATCAACAACAATTCCACTAAATGCTTGCTCCTTGGTCTAGATTAATTTTCATAGTCAAAACGTCAACCCCCAGCTTCTGTCTCATGTCTCATGAATACTGGGGAGACTGCAATTGAGACATGACAGAAATTAAAAGGAGCAAGCTATTCCAGGGCTTTACTGACTTAGCATAAGCTAAATAGTTGCGAAGATATAAACAGAAAGAGTGAGACTAGCGTAGGAACAGGTTATTTATTATATATTAAGCTGGATCTTTGAATCCTTGGGCATATAGTACGCATTTACATAAAGTTGTAAAACTTGCAAGAAAAGAAAGGTCAAAATCAATGCATCAGGGATTGGGGTATGCTGACTTTACTAGCCTATCTCCACCTGGTAATAACTTGCAATATATCTTGATATCTTATCTGACTAAGGAAATATGCAAGTTGTTTAATGCACCCGGAGCGCATTACAATCAGAATGCTATCAGATCAGCCAGAACACATCTGAGGGGGTATGGCTCGCATCGAAACCGGATATCGCACACGTGTAAATGTAATCTGTATTTTGCCACAATCTTACAAAAACAAGACTATCGTGCTCTGTGGGGCCGTAGGCTATTTGGGACTTTGAGGGGCTAAATGCTAATGGAAAATGGAGGAATCAAATCCAAACCACATTTTATTGTGAAGCACCAGTTTTTTAGGGGGGGGGGGGGGGGGTTTGTTTGGGTGAGTAGGGCTTAATGACCAGTCTACACATTGTTGAAGATTTAATTGTGTGCATAAGTAAGCTTAGAAAATATGCGTTAAACTCAAAGTACAACTGATGGGAATATCATATTTATGCAGATTGATAAGCCAAAGTTGCCTATTTGACAAGTTTAAAATGAGACATGTTAATAGTGTTACATGAAAGATAATTAAAGTTATTATCCCCTAGGGACGATGAAATAATTGTAATGAAATATCCTAGCAATCTATTCCTTCAGTGCATTATCCAAATGTCATTTTTGATTAAATGCTTTATATTCTTTATCAAAATAGTCCAGGCTTTTCCTGAGGAAAGTGAGCATGGAGAATGTGACAAGACAGTCAAAACAAACAGTGATGGCTATGATTGAGTTGTAAACAATGATGAGTAGCATCAGCTGTTGGTCTTATACTTGTCAGTTAAATCATTTCATGGTTAAATGCATTGAGTCGTCACGCTGTAATTATGCAGATGAGAGAGGAGGCCAAACATCTGATAATACACACAACCACACTTACAACCACACACACACAGACACAGACACACACACACACACACACACACACATACTTTGGGGTATAAACTCATGGACGAGCAGCAAAGAATTGTTGGAACAGAGATCAGATTAGAGAAGCTTTTCTGATCTGTGGCATGAGAAGGCTGGGCTCATGTATCAACCAGCCATCTAAGCTGGTTTATCCTGATACAACCAGGGGCATCACACACACACACACACACACACACACACACACACACACCACACACACACACACACACACACACACACACACACACACACAGACAGACTTACAAGAAAAAAGTATTGCAAGGAGGGAGGAGGGGTTGGAGTTTGATACATTCTCCAAACAATTCTCTATCCATTTTAGTCATGGCAAGGCTTTGGCTGTGGAGCGGAAATAACTCTGAGCCCTTGTTAACAGTGTTCCCAAACTTTACTTAAAGGTGGGGTATGTAATTTTGGAGAAACCAGCTCGAGTGCGCTAGAATTTTAAAGTACACAACTGGAAAAAATCTGCCTCTTCCTTCAGACTTCCTTACAGAGCCCCTCCTCCAACACACACGAACGCGCACATGAGTTTGTGCACAGATGGAAGGCTGACAGGCAGGTAGGCCATCCAGTTATTTTAGCCGGGACGGCTAAAATGATTGGTCGTGCTTTTTACAGTACTACGGCTTCCACAGATGACATTTTTTAATGGATTTATTGTCAAAGCATTTAATATATTCATTGCTATCGGGACGTTAAGAGCATTCCATGGAATATAACAAAAAGTGTATCTGAAATAAATTACATACCCCACCTTTAAGATAATCATAGTAGATGGTCTAAATCTTTCGGAAGACACATTGTGGAATAATTTATTGATTCTGCCTTTCAATCCAGGAGAATCCCTCACTTTCATTCATTCATCAATGCTGACTGACTTTCTTGCCGTCCCTATTTTGGCTGGAAAGTGATATTATTTATGATTTTGATTAGCCACAACTTAATTATCCTTGTATAGGTGTTGTCGTTACTCAAAGTGATATCTCCTGACCCCTTCCCCTCTCTCCAAGCAGGACTGATGTCCAGATGGTGTGCCCCTCCATGTGTGGTCCAGTTCAGTGCTCCCTGACCGTTTCATGGGCCACAAACCGACCCAATCATCCACGGCCTCAGCTTCACTCAGCCCCACCTCGCACCAACCGTAGCCCCTCACCCCTAACCTCACCTTCAGGCCCCCGCCTCCTGCTGCCTCGCTCTCTGTCAAACCTCTCCTCACGTTTTGACAATCCTAGCCCGCCTTGAGCCCAACATGGTGGCCTGCATCCCCGCTCTAATTTTGGTCATGATGATTCGGGGGGTCTTGCTCTCTGTCGGTGACCCGCCTTCGTCCCGCCGGGAGATCCGCATCGAGGGAGATCTGGTGCTCGGCGGTCTGTTCCCGGTGCACGAGAAAGGTGCTGGGATGGAGGAGTGTGGGCGTGTAAATGAAGACAGAGGGATCCAGAGACTGGAGGCCATGCTGTTTGCCATCGACAAAATCAATAACGACGAGACTTTGTTGCCTGGGGTATCTCTCGGGGTTCACATCCTGGACACTTGCTCCAGAGATACCTATGCACTCGAGCAGGTGGGTCAGGATGTTCATACATACTGTATACAATAAACCCTGCATGTTTGTCAATGGAGGATGATGCTGGATGATATTGAGAAGTCATTTTACTGTAAAGGTCAAATTAGCTGGATGCCCATTGCCCAATCAATGTTGATGGTAAATGCTCAAATAATCCCGCTTGCGGAGCTGTGTTGGCGGTTCCTAAATGTACTCAGGAGCTGGGAAACAAAAAACTGAAACCTCTGTTGGTCCTGATCATCATTCGCATTCATCTTCAGTTTATTTGTGCAAACTCTGCTGCACATTCACTTGATATCTTCCTCGCTAAACTTTCCTCTGCTCCAATTGCTCCCTGTAGTCGTCTCACACCCTGCACACACACACAAGCACTCTCACACACTCACACACACACTGACTACAGCACTGATTGCTCTTTTCCAAATGAGCTTCCCTAACCTTACAACAACCAGATTTCTGATTTCTTTGAACCAGTCTGTGTGCTTGCAGCAGATCAGGTTCTGTCCCCTACCTCAAGTTATTCCTGCTGCAGTCAAAGCCATCAGCAATCTTTACTGCAGTTACTATTATATTCTGAAATAAACACGACTGAATATCAAAGTTAGCAAAATGTATCATTGTCCATAACATCCTCTGCACCCTTTTTGTAATGCCATGGCATCTAGAGCACAAACCCAGCAAAACCCCAGAGAAACATTACATTTACATTTATATATTTTGAAAGTTGCTCTGCAAAGTAAGTTGTGATGACAAAAAGTAAAAAGTGCATTGTTTCCATAAAAGGTAATCTATAAGGTCTCGTTAAAAGTTCATCTTCAGGTAGAGTAAATGTACCTTGAAATGATTTTTAACCCACAATGGTGAATGGATCCTGCCTCGATAACAGCAAATCCTCGATGAGAAATAGAGATTGAAGCTATTTGCGATGAAGGAAATGAGCCGGATATAAAAAATTGAAAAAGAGCACTTTCCCTCAGGGATTGTTATCTTCAAAAAAATATATGGTATCTTATTTCTGAGCTAGGGATGATGCATCCAGTGATCTTATACAATGAGGTCTTTGACTGATTGTATAAATCTTGTATTCTTGATGTTTGATTTCCCTTATGGTATCAGGGGAGATGATTTGCAATTTGGACCCTGTTCTGAAAGCATTTAAGAGCCCCAAGTGTAAAGCAATATGCTTTTATATTCCCTTCAAAAAGGAAAACATATTACATAATATAAATGTATCGATTCATCTTTATTTATGCTTCAAATGTATTTTAAAGAACGTTATTCAAGTGTGCCACATGCTGATTAAGAATGATATGTAATATAGATCATATGGTATCCCATATGTTGCACAACATTGATATGAAATATCCGTGTGGGTTTGTTTCCCAGGCTCTGGAGTTTGTAAGAGCGTCCCTAACAAAGGTGGATGACACAGAGTTCATCTGTCCAGACGGATCCTACGCTCTGCAGGACGACAGCCCGCTCGCCATCGCTGCAGTCATAGGTGGTTCCTTCAGCAGCGTTTCAATACAGGTAACAAACAGCGCGCCGGTATGATTTGCTACCACATTTAAAGAGGACATATAATGCTTATTTTCAGGTTCATAAATGTACTTTGTGCTTTTACTGTGACATGTTTAACTGCTTTTATGTTCAACAAGTGCTTTTATTTACTGCCTTACCTTCAGCACTTCTCTTCAACTTTTTTCTAAAATGAAGCCTTACTCTGATGGTTAGCTGCGAGCCCCTTGTAAACACAAAAGTTAAATGTAAACACACCAGCACAATAACCATGTTTCACATAACTACATAAAAAACGTTATAGTGCGGCCTCAAAAAATATAGTTCCAAGTCAAAGGCAAAATGTACATTTGAGCTGGTGATCTTTTGCTGGGATGGTTTTAGTCCGAAGTAATGCTACTATAACATTTGAACATTGACTGAGTTTATTTAACACAGCGCTAGAGATATTATCAAGTTAGCTTATGTTAGCAAGTTAGTTGTGATCTTTTGCTTCGGTAGTTTTAGATTTAGCGGGCAGTAACGTAACTATGAAATGAAGCTCAGCGCAAGATCTTTCAGGAAGACTGGGTGTATATACATTCACTCCGCAGCTGTATAATCAGCTCATCATGGGCGTTGTCTATAACCTAGACATTTACATTCACTTCATTCTCCAGCAGCAAATCACTGTGGTGCAGCCAAACTTTAAAATGGTTCTCCTCTCTCCTGCAGTCAGCTGTGATTTCAGGTTTTCATGCTGCCGCCCGCCTCCTCCCCATCCACCTCCTTTCATCATATCCAGTGCCAGGAGAGTTAATCCAAAGAGCTCATCACATCCCCTCTTCATCCCATCTCCTCATCAAATCCAGATCTTCAGCATCATCACCAGTGTCTAGTATATGCTCACGGCTGCATTTCCCCCTTTAGATATACGATTTCAGGATTGGGGTCCAATCCCCAAAGACTTAACATTTATCATATGACATGTGTCAATAAATGTTCTTTAAACAAAATGAAGTCTCTCCTGATTGAAATGAAAACAGAGACCCTGATCCGTTATTATCAACTCAACTAACTAAAAGCTTGAAAGCAAAAGGCAGCCAA